CCACCATCCATCTTCATAACTTTTCTCATCTTCCCAACCTGAAACTCTGCTCATTAAAAAACTCATCATTATAATTACTTTTTATCAGGTCTATCTCCCATACTAAAAAGAAGAATGATTGCTTTATTAATATTTGAGTTTTATTATTATATATTTTGATCCCAAGTAGTGAACATACTGCCTGATTAACAGAATATGCCCATCAAATGTTTGCTGAATTGAAACGTTATGATCAAAATCACATATCCGATCATTACATAAACAAGTTATATCAGATTATTTCAACTCTCCAGTTCTAACCTAACACTCAAACACACACACACACCACATCACATCCTTTTAACAATATTCCTTTTAAAAAACAAAAACAAATCAAATCAAAACTATGCCTTCAGTACTTTCTCATTTTATAAAGTATGAATTTCAAATTTTGATCATGTCATTCAGGGTTCTCTAAAATCTGAGCCCTATCAGTCTCTCCACCCTCCACTTCTACGTAGTTTCACAACTTGATTCTTACTAACACATTATACCTTATTATAGAAGCAACCAATTTCAGGTTCTCTTTATTATACTGGCTGCTCAGCCTGAAATGTTTTCTATCAGTTTTGAAGCTAAATCTTAGGCTTTCTTCATAGGTGAGACTTCTATAATCAGAATAAATACCCTTCTCTTCTCTGCTCTTCTGGACTTCTAATTTTGCACCAAATTACATTTTACCAATATGTTTATATGTGCATCTCCATCACTTGAGGGCAAATTACATGCAAATTTCCATAATTTTTTACTTATTTTATTTTTTCCTATTCCTGTCTGTCAGAGACTCATTGGATTTTCTGCATATGGTAGTTGCTCAATAATTATATTGTGAAAGAAGAAACATCGTACTAATTTGATGTATAAGACCAATGCATTGGTGTTTATTGAGCATGCTTAAAGTTATTCAAACTCTCTATTAAGGAAATAGTTAAGGAATAATGTGAAAACACTGTTTACCACAAACTCTATATATGAAATTTGACAAATATATATTGATCACAAGATTCATATCATTGTACTGAGTGAAACAAATAAAATGAGAAAGATGCAGTCCATTTTCTCAGGGAACTAACAACCTGGATTATGCAGGCGTATAATTAACCCTAATGCTCGGTGAGCAGTCATAATAAGCGCTGAAGCAATAAGCTTCAGCAATTTAAACTAAAGAGCAATGGCTGTTGGCAAGAAACCATAAAATATTTCATCAAAATTGTGATGATGTCTGAACTTGAGTTTCAATGGGGAACTATAATTTCAGTGGGTGAAGTGGAGTTGTGGAGGCATTCCAAGAGAGACATTAGCATACGATTTAGAGGCAGGAAAAATGTGGGCTGCTTTCAGAAACAATGAATACAATGACTGAACAAGACCTTAGTAGAGGCAGTAGGGGTAGTGGAAGTTAGAGCTGGATTTAAAGGTTAGGGCTATTGAAGAGGTTCTCGATGGTATATTAAAGGTCTATGTAATATATGTCATTATATATTAATATAGTATACTATATCATTATGTTATTAACATATTAATATGGCACACATTATGTATAAGTATATATTACATACTGGAATATGTTATGAAACATAATCATTATGATTGAATTTTGCTTAATAGGTTTAACTGTGAAGAATTATATAGCAGAAAGGGATAGGGGATGAGCAGACAGAAATCCTATATAATAAAAGGCTAATATGCAATTCGACCAAATGGTGGAACAACCAGTCGTTATGATGCGCACTGACATAGATGCATGGAACAGAATGTGGAATCTCAGAGGAAAAGTAGGGGAGGTGGGTGGATGAGAATTGATCAACCAAAGAACTTGTATGCATAACTCATGGACATAGACAATAGGGTGGTGAAGAACTGTTGCAAGGAGCAGGGAAAGCTAGAAAAGGTCAATGGGGAAAAAGGGGGGGACATATGTGATACTTTCAACAGTAAAAATTTAAAAAACAGTAGAATGTGAACAGATTCATGCTAGGTAAAAAAAAAAAAGGAATTATAAGGAACACTAACTACATCATAATTTTAGTTTAAAATCTAAAGCATCAAATGAAATGTTCCCCAACCACCAGCTCATTTAGTCAGTTGCAGAAATTTTGTTCTAATAACTGATTGTTTTTCTTCTATCTTACATATTTTTATTTGACTCTTAAGAATGTGCTCTTAAGTAAGTTTTTCTTTTTTGAAATAAAAATTTTCTCTTTATTTTCTAAAGTACTTTCTTCAATTACTTTCTCTAATACCCAAACTATCTAGTTCCGCTTTCTAAAGCTGTCATTAGCATGAATTTTTCTAAACTGATTTTTGTCAGTTTTCTAAATGTATCATCATCAATAAACAATGAATACTTATAAAAATTTATTGTACTAGTTGCTGTTACTATAGAGAAACAAGTCAAGCTGTGTTTTCTGATTATTTTTTAGTATTTCATTGTGAAATATAAATAGCATTGTAAAGAAAAGTTGACTTGCTCTTATGTTCTTTCTTTAAAAATCACTAATCTATACTAATAAAAGCCTAGGTGGCCCTCATGTGCAACTTCGTCACAAGATGACCACCACAAGATGGCCACCATAAAGATGGCCACATGCATAGTGGAGGTGGGCCCCAGCAGCTGCTCCACGTGGTGAGGCCTGGGGGTCCCGCAGCTCTGCATGGTGCGGAGGAGGTGGGTCGCGGCAGGGGAGGGCAGTTGTGGGCAATTGGGCTGGCAGGGGAGCAGTTAGGAGTCAATCAGGCAGGCAGGCAGGCAAGCAGTTAGGAGCCAGCAGTCCGCGATTGTGAGACTGCAGGGATTGGGCCTAAACCAGCAGTCAGACATCCCCCAAAGGGTCCCAGATTGGAGAGGGTGCAGGCCGGGCTGAGGGACAGCCCCTCCCCCCCATGCACAAATTTCGTGCACCAGGCCACTAGTTATTTATAAACTATTTATTGTGAGAACTAAGATACCTTTATTTTTTACCTTTTTTAATGGATCTTTGCATTCCTTAACTCAGATTAAGCCTCATGGAAATTTATTACAAGCAATAACAACAAAATATATTAAAGTTTATAATGAGTACACAATTACTTTCCTCTTATTTATATAAATAATTTAAAACAAAACAAAAGCATTCAGAAAAATTACAGTATTTTGAGAGTAATTCTAATGATTTAGAATTAATGAATCTATGTACTAGTATAAGCAATCAAATGTACCATTCAGCCTACAAGAGACAATAACAATATTTGAGGGCTAAAACTGTGTTAAAGACAACAAATTCTTTTCTCCACTACTGCTATTTCTCTATGTAACTGGACTCTTCAGTTGTCATTTCTGGAGCAAAGTTTCAGAGCCTCACTTGAATGTATAGAACATTTTTATTTCAGCGTAAATAATTCAGCCAAGTGGTTCTACTACACCTTTGTTTATGACAAATAGAAACTTTACCACTGTCATATTAAGCAAGACTTTCAAATCAGTAGTTACCAAACCTTTTGATTGTTTACCCTTATTAATAAAATATTTTGATTCACCCAAGATAAACATAAATGAAAATCAAAATTAACAATGACAAAATAGACACAGTTAACATTTTCTTACTGCACACTCTAGGAATTAGCACACTCACTTTGCAGATAATTTACATATTCTCTCTCCTGAAAGGACTGAGTTCTTGTTATTACCCATTATTTTAGGAGTTTTTTTCTCCATCCAGTTTGTTAAGCTATCTGGTTGCCAAAAAGCTTTTGCTCTATATATTTTAAACTGTTTTTCCACCATTTATGCTTTTTAACACTGCTAGCCTTTAATTCCCATGGAACTCATTCTTCCTGTAATTAAAAGTCCATTACTTCTGATATTTAAATTGTTAAACCTGGAACAAACAAAAGCATATGTAAACTTGCTCATTTGCCTCAGCTTATTTTAAAGAGCAGGGAGTTTGTATTGGATAAGATTTTTAGTCTGATTTGAAAATGTGTGAATTTGTGTGTGTAGTGTAAATGTGAATATTATTTTCTTATAAATCCCTCTATAATACATAATTAATCACATTAACCTCCCACTTCTTTACTGATTTATTAAATAATTCAATAATTATTGAATTATTCTATTATGTCCACTACTAGTAATAACAATATTTACAGTATAAGAATAAAGTTCTGGGAAAAAATATCCTCATTAATAAAGTGTGTGTGTGTGTGTGTATGTGTGTGTGTGTGTGTGTGTGTGTATGAGAAAGAGAGAGGGAAGAAAATAGAACAGATAGGGCTATTTTAGTGGTATACACAGCTTAATTTGTTATATAGTTTAATGACTCCAAGTTCATTTGTGCACTAATAACCAAAAGAGGTAAAATCTTCTAAAGAAAAAAGCTCTGTAATACTTTCAACAATAAAGATAAATTTTAAATTAATAAATAAATAAATATCTCTAAAGTTAAAAAAAAAGGAAAAGAAAAAAACAGCTCTTTAAATCTGAAATTACAGAACACTTTCTTAAAGTCATGAATTAGATAAAATGAAATGGATTCAATGATGCCACTAAACATGGGCACAATGTTTTTTAGAAGATAAGAATAATAAGGTCCTGAGGGGAAATATATTTATATCTCCAAGGAATTAACTTCATTTGCAACATTATCTAAGTTTAACAGACAATTTCCATGTTTTTCAATTTTGGAGCCAAGTTTTGCTTCTCAGAAGGACTGACATTCTGACCGCAGTCTTTCTCAATCCCCATCTCACTAGTTCCCATGTCACTAGCTCTTCGTAAGTCTCCTTTCATCTCTGAGTGACAGATCTGAATCACCGGAAATGAGAAAACATGACTGGCAACCAGTTTCAACAGGCCTTGTTCAGTGGCAGATACAGAATGTAATTTATTCTGTGTGACAGTTTTCATAAATGTGACATGAAACACAAGGGATATAATGTTAGCGATATTGCACCTCAGAAGAGGAGAAAGTTTGGTGTGTTACCTCCTGATTAGCAGCAGCTAGTTCTTCTTCCAGTGCAGAGACTCTTTCTAAAGAAACCCTCAGTCGCTCCCTTACCTGGAAGAAAAACCAAAAATGTGCCGTAATGTACATCCCATACAAGTTAAACTGCTAATCCGTCATTAACATTATCAAAGACAGTCACGGTTGGCTATGTTCCCACTATTTATAGTCCTAATTTTTTGGGAATAAGATGAACACATTGTCACCTCATAGTGCCACTGTATCAAAAGAGACTTCCTTGTAACTAAGTCCTTTTCGTGTTTTGAGGATAGATTTTCCTGTGGGTTTGGAGATTGACCCATCTTGTTCTCAATTCTGATTCATAGTAAGTGAAGGCCAAATTTAAACGTTTAGTAAGATTTAATGAGGAATACAGGTTAGATAACATATGAAATAGATAAAAACATACAAAACAATTATATTTTAAAATATGTTTTTTAGAGAGAGAGGAAGGAAGAGGGAGAAAGAGAAACATCAATGAGAGAGAAACATCCATCAACTGCCTCCTGCATACCTCCCACTGAGGATTAAGCAGCAACCCAGGCAAATGCCCTGACCGGGAATGGAACCACCAAGCTCTCAGGGCATGGGACAATGGTCAACCAACTGAGCCACACTGGTCAGGGCCATAAACAACAATTTTTAAGTTGCATTCTTTTCCAATTAGCAAACAAACAAACAGTACTAGTGTCCTATAAATCTAAAATCTAATTTGAAATTTTTAAAAATCTCAATATACTTTTATACTGTACTAGAAGGCTGGTGCATGAAAATTCATGCACTGGAGCGGGGGACCCTCAGCCTGGCCTGCCCCCTCTCACAGTCCGGGAGCCCTCAGGGGCGGGAGATGACCTGGCGATCAGGGTAAGGCGACGCGCCTTCACACCTCTGCTGCTGTCACTGCCTGCAGCACAAACCTCAGCTGGTCCACACCTCTGCTGCTGTCACTGCCTGCAGCACAAACCTCAGCTGGTCCTGGTTACTTGAGCCTTGGGTGGCCCTGATGGTGGGGCAGCCACCACCCAAGGCTTGCCTGTGCTTCGAGCTGACCCTGGGTGCTAGGGGATTGGGGGACTGCGGAAGCAGGCATGTGGAGCAGCCAGGCCCGCCCCTAGCCATGCCGGCCACCCCGGTGGGGCTGAGGGGACTGAGTGCTGCCATCTTATTGCTGTGGGTGCTGCCATCTTTGAGGGTGGGGGAGTAAATTAGCATACTCCCTCCTTATTGGCTGTGGGCACTGCCATCTTTGAGGGTGGGACAGTCAATTAGCATATGCCATTATTGGCTGTGGGCACCACCATCTTTGTAACAGTGTGGGGGTCAATTAGCATATTCCCTCTTTATTAGATAGGATAATGTTATCTGATATATATTCAGGTGACTGACTGTCCTTAAATCCTGAAATAATCTTGAGTAATAAAGAATAAGTATATGAGTGGAGATTAACATTAGTTATTTTCATTATGCTCAAATTCTCTGCAAATTACTAATCTACACTAATAAAAGACAAAGATGTAAATTGACTGTACCTTTGCTACGCCCAAGCCACGCCCATCAGCCAATCAGAGCAACTATATGCAAATTGACCCAACCAAGATGGCAGCCATCAGCCACAGAGCTGGAGCAAGCAGGAGGCTTGGTTGCCCCGGCGATGGAGGAAGCCAAGCTTCCTGCCTGCCCTGCCAGGCTGTGGCCTCTGCAAAAGTCAATAAAGTTTCAATTATAGAAGGTAAATAAAACCCAGATACCTGCTTCCAGCCAGCCCCCACTGGGAGCTTGGGTGGCTGAGTGCTATGGCCAGCCTGCAAACAGCCATGAGCCCCTAACCCAGGATGGCCACCCCATCATGGGGTGAGGGTCCCTGCTGGGGGCCTTGGCCAGCCTGAAACAGCCATCAGCCCCTCATCCAGGCTGGCCAGGCACCCAGGGGGAACCCCCACCCTGAAAGGGCTGTGGCCAGCCTCCAAACAGCCATCAGCCTCTCACCCAGGATGGCCACATCCTCATGGGGTAAGGGTCCCCACTGGGGGGCTTGGCCAGCCTGAAAACAGCCATCAGCCCCTCACCCAGGTTGGTCAGGCACTCCAGCGGTACCCCCACCCTGATCTAGGACACCCTTCGGGGAAAACCAGCCAGCCCCACCCATGCACCAGGCCTCTATCCTATATAATAAAAGGGTAATGTGCACATTGACCCTAACAGCAGAGCAACTGGGAATCACTGGTCACTATGACATACACTGACTACCAAGGGGAAGACGCTCAATGAAGGTGCTGCCCCCTGGTGGTCAGTGTGCTCCCACAGGGGGAGCTCTGCTCAGCCACAAGCTGGCTGCCAGCTGCCAGTACAGCAGTGGTGGGCGGAGCCTCTCCCGCCTCATC